TGTGTGTGTGTGTGTGTGTGTGTGTGTGTGTGTGTGTGTGTGTGTGTCAGAGGACAACAGGAGCTAGTTCTCCCTACTGTGTGAGCCTGGTGATCAAACTCAGATTATCAGGCTTGCCAGCCTCCCTGAGTCACCATGCCAATCTCTCTATTCCATTTCAGCTGCCACTTCTCCCTTCTGTTAGAGCACAGCAGCGAGGCAGAAGCCACAAGGCTCGATAGGACCCAGGTTCCGGGGCCTTTCTGATCTAGTTCAGAAACCATGGGTATCTACTCTTCCTCTGTGTTAGCTACTGTTCTCATTTGTGGATCTGGGAATAGCACTCAAGAACTATCAGGGCCCAAGTTCAATCCCTGAGTCTGAGAAAGATGGAGAGAAAGGAAAGAGAGAAGATGAGACGAGAAAGGAGAAGGTGAAAAGAGAGAAACAGCGGTATATAGAGAACAATATTAATATGTATCTCATCCCGATGTCGTGTTTCACAGTTGTCATGAATAAAATCCCTGGAAGATGGCAAGCAAGGGACCAAGCTTAGCTCTCTGTCAGTGACACTGCACTAAGTCATTGTGTCTTCTGATTGTCCATGAGCTCCATAGTATTGAAAGAACTCTGACCTGCTCCCTGCTGTAGATCAGAGAGAATACCTTGGACAGTCTTAGCAGGCATACCTACAGTGGTATATGAACACACATACAGGGGTATATGAACACACATACAGGGATATATGATTTAACTTGGGTCCAAGAAGTAAAGAAAAGAGGATTTTTTTTCTGGAGTTAGAAATACCAGAGAAGGATTCCTATGCCCAAACTTGTCTTTTAAGTCACCAAGAGGGCAGGACAGGGCAACCATGTCAGAGGGTAATATTCTTTGGCCAAAGGTTCAGAAGTGTGGTGCTGGACAGGGCTTGAGATTTAAGTATGGAACATCAAATCAGATGGTGGGAGCTGAGAATAACTAGGCAGGGAGCCAGCTAAAGAAACTGGTCTGGTCACCATGGGTACAACATTGATGAGATGGAGCCTGTCAGGCCTTGTGCCACCTAGGCCAGCTGGAGCTGAGCAGGCATCCCCACTCTGTGCCCATCACTTCATCACACTTGGCTTAGACTCTGGTCGCTCATGGAGCCATTTCCAAGTTTGCAAGTAAACTATGGAGCTCAGAAATTGGACACCTTCCCATGGCACATTATTTTTTTTTTCCTACCACAATCATTTATTCATTCAACATTTATCGACCGCCCATTATGTGTCAAGATAGGCCTTGGGGACATAGAGGAGGAAACCACAGTCCTCTACTGAGCCCTACAGTTCTTGTAACTGATGGATATGGACTTTCACATATCCATCCACAACAGGAAGATCAGGCTGAGGGGAGGGAGAGCTGAGTTAGCAGACATGGGATGTGACAGTTATCATCAGTCTGTGGCACCTTGCCTCCACTAGTCCCCTCCATTCTTCAAGGACCTGCAAGAGCCAGGGCAGAGGCCATTCCATGTTTTGCCCATGGTGACCACCAGCTGTCACTTGGTTCAGCTAGACTTTAATCCTCTAGATTCCACTGGTTCTGTAGTTTTCTCTTCTCCATTTAAAACAAACTGGATCTTAAGAATCAAAATAGCAATAGCTTGTTGAGATTTGTGTGTGAAATTAGTAGGAAACTTCTTAAGTGCAATTAAATAATAAATGGCACCTGGAGTGATTCACCGATAGGCGTTTCCTTCTCCTTAGGCACCAGAAGCTGCTGGGGCACCAGGCTCAGAATCCAATCCCAGTTCTCCTCAGGCTGGATCCCAAGCACAGTGGCAGTTGGGCCTGCATGGGAACTGACAGTGTCGAGCGCCGGGCCACCACCTTCCCGCAAAGCTGGATTGTGGCCCAGCCCTGCAAATGAATCCTCATCCCCAGCCCTTGCCTTCTGAGGACAGGAAAGACAAATGGGTTTCTTCTCATTACTACTATTATGGTGGACTTGTTACTGGTGTGTGTGTGTGTGTGTGTGTGTGTGTAGATAAAGCTCTTAGATAGTGTAGGGTGATTATAAAAGCACATAGGAGAGTCCATGCCACTTCTGGCTGCGTGTAAGTGCTTTTTAAATCTTTGACTGATTAAGCCACCAAAGACTAGAGCACGTGTCCTGACCTCAGGTTCATATGTACCATCCAGCTGCTGCTGGTGGGCAAGGTGAGCATACGTGAGATAGACTTTCTTCTGTGTGCACATGAGTAGCAGATGGTGCTGGATTTTTCCTGAAACTTCTGTCTTTCATTTAGGAGACCAATGAGGATGCTTTCCTGGGGAGCTAGCATGTGCACGCTGAACAACAGGGCAAGGGGTATGTCCAGGATCTAACAGCAAGGGGTCCTCCCTGCACTGGGCGGCCTTGGCTCCCTTGTGGCTTCCTTTGCTTAGATTTCTGGAGGCAGTTTACTGAATAAATGTCACATCCACAGACACTTGCCAAGAGTTTAAATATGGGAGCCAGTTGACAGCACACACTTCAGTCATAAGGCTGCTGAGAAATGCTTCCTCCAGGCAGAGTGGCTGCTGAAGAAGTAGGTGCCCAGTTGTCTCACTTCCTGTTCCGCCCTCCCTCTCATGGGCCTTGTCTCTCTTCCAGGATATGCTCCAGGGTCAGAAGAAGAGAAAAGAGAAAAAGTGGCATGGTGCTGACTGAAAGGTGAGTTCCCTCCCATCGAAGGCCATAGCAAACCCAGAATTCATAGCTCTTTCCAGCAGCTGTTCCTTTCGCTCTGTGTACTGTGGCTGTAGGTGTGAGGTCCAGGTAGAATTCACTCTCAGTTTTCTGTTGTTGCTACTATTTTCCTTCACTGGGACAAAAGCAGCCAGTTTGACGAAGACATTGTAATAGGGAAGCCAGGTGTGAGATATATACTTCCAGTCCTGGCTACTCAGGAGGCTGAGGCGGGAGTTCAAGGTCAGTTAGAACAACCAGTAAGACCCTGTCTCAAAAAAGAACACAGTAAAATTAAATAAATAAACAAATGGAATGTTCCCTTTTCGTGGAGCCAGTTGCTTGCTAGTAACATGCCATAAAAAAATATCTTTCTTGTTAAATCAAGAACAGTCAATGAGAACTGTTGACTGTTCGTCTGGTTCAAGCCAATACTTTTTCATCATGGGGTAATGCACCTTAACTATTTATGTTCTCTGTCCTATGACACCTTTCTCAGAATTATTTCAACAGCAAGAAACTAGAGCCTGATATTATACTGAAAGGAAACTATCCCAGCATGGCTCTACTTTGTCCCAGCCACAGGACTGGTTGTCTTGAGATATAGGACAATGAAGATAACTTTTGGAGTGCAGACACGGTAGTGGTTCATGCCTTTAACCCTAGAACTTGGGAGATGGAGGCAGTAGTTCATAAGGAGTTCAAGGTTGGCCAGGGCTACGTGAGACCCTGCCTCAGAAAACAAACAAAGGAAGAAAAGGAAGGACAAATGGCTTTTGACTTTTTTTTTTTTTTTTTGACACAGGGTTTCCCTGTGTAGCCTTTACTGTCTTGGACTCGCCTTTTAGACCAGGCGAGGCTAGCCTCAAACTCACAAAGATCCTCCTGCCTCTGCTTACCCAAGTGCTGAGATTACAGGTGTGTGCCACTGTGCCTGGCTGGGTAACTGTTCTTTCTTTTATCATTAATAACAGGAGAAAAGTCTCTGAGAGAGCCTAGCCAACCCTGACTCAGGGATGGACCAGTTACAAACTTTCCTGTCTCAGAGTCCTTTGCTTCTGTCTGGATGATCAGATTGTATTTCACTTCTCCATCTCAGGAGCCCAAGGTGCAGTAGAGGAAGGAGGAACCTTTTGGCCACCCCAGCGGCGAGAGTTTCTGACTGAATGCACTTGCCATCTAGCACTCGTTACACCATTGTCAGTGTGTGTCTGTAGCCGCCTCTGGGTGTGTGTGTTTCTTTTTGTATCTTCGTGTCAGTGTCAGGCTGTGTGTGTCTATTTATGTTGTCCTGTCTAGGCGTGCTCAGTGACAGAGAGCTGGGGGCGGTGTTGGCAAAAGGAAGACATTTCAAAGCCTCAGCTCTCCCCCTCACGGACATCAGGCTGCTGGTGTACATACACATACAGATATAGGGTTTTTCTCCTGTTGTTCATTGTGTGGGGATGCAGTCAAGTGTCTGGCCAGGTATGGCCTGAGCAGTGGCCCAGAGCTCACAGCGTTCCTTCCTGTCCGTCATGTCCATGGGGAGCCTGCCCCTTCACAGTTTACCATCTACTCTCTAATTTATTAGATGGGAAGGAAGAGAAAATGAGATGTTGCCTGAAGACAATGGCCGAGACAGCCCGTCCCACCCTGCACAGCCACCAGTGCCTCTGTCCCTAACCGTGTCTCCTCTGTGAGTCTGCGAAGGCTGAGGTGAGAAAGAAAAGAACCCCCAAGCTATGCTATTAAACAGTTATGCCTGCCTCTTGCACATGCAGAGTAGCTGTAGACTGCTAAAGGAGAAGGCCCCAGGATGAAGGCTTGGCTCAGAGTTTGTATCTATTGCTGGGCCCGTAGGCACAAGGTCTAGTCATCCACTCTGGAACTCCCACCTCTCAGTCCTAAGACTTCTCTCCAGCTCCCAGCCAAGCAAGGGAGGGGCAAGGGGCCCAAGGCAGCTGCAGGGGCTATGTTAGTAAACACTTTACTGGCTTCCTATTTTCTTCACACACACCCCCACCCTTCTCTACTCCCCCAATGCCCCTTACACACTCCCACCAACCCCCCAGCATCCCCCTTTCTGTGGCCTGCACAATGAGCTCATTGTCCCCAGTGTGATTTGAATAAGGGATCTGCGGGCCTGTTCCCAGCATTGTCCGAGGGGCTGGGAAAAACCCCAGTGCAGGCAGGAGGACCAGACCAGACAGAGACAGATGCCTAAATTAGCAACAAAGCTTTGTGCAGGTCCCCTGGACAAGGGCTCGCCTTGTCTGCCTGGACTCAAGGGTGTGGAGCTGGCCGGCTGCTCGCATGTCTCCCCATGTTAATTAGTTTTGCATGCATGTCTGAGAAGGTGCCAGGGGAGATGTGTTTGCCTTCCGCCTCCCTGAGGAGGGGCCGCTGTTTGTGGCTGGCCAGTGGGCTGGAGGCTGTGGAGTTGAGCTTCACAAGGCTGGGCTGGGCCTACCTGGGGAGCTAGGCTCTGGATGAGGAATCTCATCTTTCCTGTCCAACTGCTCTTTAGCCTGTGGAGAGCCTGGCCTTGCTCTCCGTGGCCCCTCCATTCCTTCCCCTACCCCAGAAAGTTGGTGAGCTCTGACTCCAGGGGACTCATTGGCTTCTACCCAGACCTAGGCTACTGCCTGTCCATCTGGCAGTCTGTCTCTTGCGACACAGGGCCCCTTGGGACCAGGCAGCAGAAGCGACCAGTCTGGGCTCTCCTCTGTCCCAGAGCCAGATGGCCAGTCAGCTTATCGCATTACGGCCTCCTCTGTCCCCAGACCCCTGCCGTCCATAGCAGGACAGAATCATGTTTGGGATATGATGGAGAAACTCCCTTTTAGGCCCTTGTAATGGGGTGGTAGACAGGGTACAGTCATGGCTTTGCCTCTGGTTTGCTGTGTGCTTGGACAGCCCAACTCCCTTTGACTCCTAATCCCAGCAGCAAGATGATGAGGCTGAGCTTCAGGCATTCCTGGTCCCTCCTAGCTGAGGACATCTTTGCTGGTGGTACTCAAGTCAGCTTGTGTTCATTTAGCACAATGACAAGAATGAGACCAGTGAATTCTGAATAGTAGTGGGTGGTGAAATGGAAGGAAGGATTTGATTACTGCATGTGCTCAAGTGTGAGTGTGTGTGTTTTGAGCAATTGATGGAGGATCAGGAATCAGTAGATCCTGTCTCCCCATGTCCTCACAGAGCCCGCTCCCAAGCCTGAGTCTTTCTTCCTCTGGCCTATATGCTACAGTGGTGGAAAGCCATCAGCCCAGCATAAGAGAAGCTAGATGGTCAGTAGCTGCTGCTGGGGTCCTGGCTGTGTCCCATTCACACCCTGCAGACCCTAGGATAGGGCACGGGGCCCAGAAAGTCTGAATACCTGCCGGCTAAGCTCAGCCAGGCCTCCTAGTGGTTTCCAAGGTCGGGCCTTCTGGAGCCCCACAGGAACCCGAGGGAGTGAGAGTCAGGGATGTGACTTGCTCCTCTCATTCATGTGCCAGTGTCTGCATATCTAACCTGAGCTCTTTGTTGGTCTCTTCCCACCATTCATTGCCACTCATCTTCCTCCCTCCCTCTCCCTCTTCTCTTCCCCCCCCCCCGCGCGCGCGTGTGTGTGTGTGTGTGTGTGTGTGTGTGTGTGTGTGTGTGTGTGTGAATTTTAGATAGGGTTTCTATGTAGCTCTGGATGTTCTGGAATTCCCCCACATACTCCAGGTTGGCCTCAAATTCACAGAGACTTCCCTGCCTCTGTTTCCTGAGAGTACAGGCATGCACCACCACAGCCAACCACTGTGTGTGTCTGAAGTAACTTGGAGTGTCTCTGGTAAAATGTTCTAATGCCCACTTCCCTCTCTTGTTCCTTCTTTGCCAACCTTCTCTCCTCAGATATGATGTGATGTACCCTGCTCTGGAGCAGGCAGCTGCTCAGAGACCCACAGGGAGCTCTGTGATTGGCCTCAGATGGCCTTGAGGATAACAGGTGAGCCCTGAGCCTTTCTCCTCTTATTTCAGGTACTAGCCAGTTTCCCACTTTGCACCTCTCTCCATCTCGATACCCCTTCACCTGCCTCCCTGAGCTGTTTCTCAGGTGGAGTGGTCCAAAGCTTAGTGAAGAAGAAGGGTATAGAAGTCAAGCATAGTGAGCCAAGTGCCTGCAGTAGGGGTGGTGAAGAGACAAGATGGCAGAGCCTTCAGGGAGCTGCCTACTGCCCTCCCTGCCCCACCCCTCTCTTAGCTGCCTCAGCTGCTGCCTCAGCTGTATCTCTGAGCTCCTTAATCTGGTGATCAGTGTGGTGCTGGGAGGGCGGGCTGGCAGAGGCTTTAGGAGGTGACAAGGGATCTTAGGAGTCACACTCCGCTAATGGAGCATCACCGAGTGTCATGGCAAAGCTGGGGAATCACATTCCAAGCGCAGCTCTCCCTCCAGAGGCAGCAGCCTTGGCTGGCCTGGACCCAGGATGGGTGGTTCCCAGTGAAAGCCAGGACATTGGCACTGCCTGCTGCCTGTGGCAACACCGCACCTTGTTCTTTATTCTTTGGGAAGGAAACTTCCCAAGATTGGTGTTTTCTAGTCCTGTCTATGTGACTGGGCTTTTAGTTTTCAGTAGCTGCCCGTAGCTGTATTCCAGCTCCTAGATCTTCCAGCTGCCAATCCCATTAAAAAGCAGTCTCTGGATGCTACAGGTATCCATTCTCTTGGTCATCTGGGAGAATGTTGTGAGAACTGGCCAGGGGAAGAGATTTGTTCAACAGCTGAGTGATTCTGCTAGACAGTATGCCTTCCATATTAGTTTGAGTGGCTCTGAGGAAACCCGGAGTTTAGAAATTGAAGTCAGGATGCTGAGCACAGGCCCAGGTAGTTCTGGGGGCTTGTGGCCACCAGGAGGCAGGTAAAACCCTGGCTAGAGAGAAGCCACAGAGGAAGAGATACTGTGGGCAGACACTCAGCCCTGGATTAATGGGCAGTTAGATTCTGAATGTCCTGAGGCCAATAAAGTCTCATCTGTGATATTGAAAAAAAAAAAAAAAAACCCACAACGTGGAGTCGCTGTGACTGATGTCAGACACACATGCTCTTCTCTGTAACTGTGGGACAAATAGGAAGGTCACTTAAGAGGGCTGTGATTTGGGGAGGGGGGGTGGACACAGTGCTGATGTTTGGAGTATTAACCACCAGTGTAGCCTAGGTACCAGCATGGCAACTGGCCTGAATCAGCAGCCCGGGGAAGAGGGCACAGCTGGGCTCAAATAAATCCATTTGCCTTTTTGTCTCTCTGTTCCATCACATAGGTGTCTATTCATCAAGCACACAAACCTCCCTCAGGGCAGTTCCTGACAAGATGGCAGAATCCGTGACCCCAGGGTCTCTGTTGCTCTCAGCAGACCAGGTCTGCCTCCTGTGGGGCATACCCTATCAGATCCAAGCTCCAGGCACCATGCTGGCTGAAAACCTGGCCCCGTCTTGTCTCTGTCTCTCTTGGGTGCAGATGAGCTTCTCCTTGATCTCTCACCTTCCCTGGGCTCCTTTTCAGAAGCACTCCGGGCCAAGGAATAGAGGCCCCTCATTCTGAGCCACTTCCTCATGCCTTCACTGTTTCTCTAGGGGAGGTTAGTGTCCCTGTTGTCTGAGTGTGTGATGCTGGAGGTGGGATGGAGCCTGTTACCTGACTGAAGAAAACTTCTAGCCTCAAGGCAGCATAAGTTCAGGATTTTGGAGAGTGTTACCTCCCCTGGACATGTGCACCTTGACTTTGTTGCTTCTACTGAGTTTTCTTTCTTCTCTTTTCCTTTCAGGGTCCAAGGTGGCCTAGTAAAGAAGCAAGATCACAAGAAGACCGGCCCCACACAACCGGAAGTCAGAGGCTTGGCCCATCAGCCCGCCTCTTTCCTCCCTGGACCTGGAAAAGGAACACTGGATATGAAGCTGTCTGCATCACTCAGCCCCTACTTTTAATAATTGGGGAAATTTTTTTCTGCTTTGTTACCTATGAATCACCCTAGCTCCTGCTCCCTGACTTTCAGAAAACTCAGCCAGCCTTTTCTCCTCCAAGCTGCCCTGGGACAGAGTTAGACACCTCTACCTAAAGCCTACAAAGAAATCACCAACCAACCAAAGAACCAGAAGCTTACCTCACTGCTGACCTGCAACTTAGACTGGGAAGTGGCCTGTCCCGGAGCAAAGACCTGGGCCAGACACCATATGTTTTGGCTAGGTATGTGTCCGGCCTGAGTCTGGGTGCTTTGCCTTCTTCTCTAGTTCCAAATGCTCTGAACAGTATCCTGGTGGCTCCAGGAATAGTTGGTCATATATTTGGGATCTTCCCTGGGCCAAAGCCCTTCAACTCAAAAGCTCTCTACCCTAGTCCTCCGTGAAGGCACCGCTTCTTCCTGATGCCTGGTGCCTATCCCTGTTGCAGCAGGCTGAAACAAATGTGGATATGGAGTCAGGAGGGCATGGAACCAGCATCCTTGAATGACCAGGAGGATTCTAGGCTGGCGCATAGTCTCTCTTAGCCACTGTTTCCATGTTCCTAAAGTGAGAAAGGGGGTGGGGTGTGCTCAGTGGCCCGAGCTCCCTGAGCATGCTCAAGGCTTTGGGTTCTAATCCTAGCTGCACACAGAGGTTCCAAAGGCCATGGTCATAAATAAATCCTTTTCCAAACTTTAGGACTCCCCTACTGGGGAGGTCTGGGGACAACTTTGGAATCCCCACTCCCCTCTCCATTTCCCACTACCCAGAGAGCAACAGTTCCCTCAGCCCTCAGAATATCTGAATGGGAGTCATAGGACACCAGCCTCCTGAGAGCAAGCTGCTTACAGACTTTTTCTTGTCTTTAGGTTGTCTGTGAAGGGAAGTGATGGGACAGGCTGTGTTCCGCTTTTATGGAAACAGACAGAGAAGTGGTAATTCCTGCCAAGGTCACAGGATGAACACAGAGCCAAGAACCAGAACCAGAAGAGTCGAGCAGGAAAGAAAAATGCAGTGACTACCATCCTGAGGCTGCAGTACAGGAAACAATCCTGCCAGAAATTTGGCAGGGGACCAGCCGACGTGCTCCACAACCCTGCTAGAGGGTCTTTGTCCTTGGCCTGCTGGCCTCCTCCGTTCCTGCCTCCTCTGTTCCACACCTTTCAGGCCTGTTCTGGGTCTGATGTGTTGTGGAACACTCTGTCCAGACGCTTGGGAAATGGAAACACCACTGCAGACATTTCCACCCCAAAGAACTAGGCAGCACACTGGGAAGGTACCCAAGGAAGGGACTCCAGCCTCCCAGGAGTTAACAGCACTTTTCCCCAGCTGTCCTCCCCTTGGTGCTCCTTTTCCTCCCTCCTTCTGCTCACAGCAGGCAGGGCCTGGAACCAGGAGCCATGCTGCTGTGCTGTTGCCAGGGGAGCTGGGAGGCAGATCGGAGCTATGCAGGGAAAAGGCTCAGCCTGTCAAAGTGTCTGAGATGAACCACCGCCATCCCTGTGCAGCTGGGCTCAGATGTGTCTCCGGCTCTTGTTCTATGCCTGAGAACAGTAAAGCCCAGTGAGGTTCAAGGGCACACTGGCTATTCATTAGTCAGGGGTTCTTGACGTCCTGTCTCTCCCAGGGATGGGTTCCCCCCTTCCTCTTTGCCTCCTGTGGCACATTCCTGGGTGCACACCCCTCCTGCACAGCGCCCTCCACACAAACCCTGAATCAACTCCTGTTAGGGAGAGCAGGCGGGACAGAGACAATGGCTTCAAGAAGCCATTCAGGCAGGACACCAGCCCCGTTTGCCTGCCTTCCGTTCCCAGTACACCTATATATCCCACCCTGCTGTGACTCAGGGAACCCCTGGGCTCCCAGCTTGCACATGCCTGGACAGGAGCAGGCCACTAGGTGCTGCCCTACAGCACAGGCAGTTCTCAGCGGGCCCCTTAGTGCCTCTGTCCTGCTGGCTGGAGATTTTTGTACAGTTCATTGAAGAGTAGAAACTGTATAATCTTTTCTGAAATGTGGTCATGTCAAAAATGTAAAAGACGCATATACTTGATTACTAATTTCGTGACTGGGAATTTACTCCAGATATACTGGAAAAGTTTGCTCAGAAGCATGGGCAAAGAACTGTGGTTGAACTAACAGGTTGTTTCGTACTATGGAATACTACACAGCTGTATAAGGGTGGTAGATCTCTGCATGAGGGCTAATATGGAAGGCTGCTAATATACTTAAGTGAATAGAATAAATCACAGAACAGTCAAGTGTGTTCTTCTTTGTATACATTTAAAAGTCGGTCACTGCGTCAGGGGTATGTGAAGTCCCGTGGTAAAATACAGCACACAAGAAGTCTAGAGCCAAATAAAAATATATCAGCCACAAGCATGTCTGTATGGATGGTCCTGAAGGGAAGCTGTGCACAGCAACTGGTGATTTTGTGTTTGTGAAGTGCTTTTACTGAAAAGGGAAAAGAGTGATAGTCACTTACCAGGTAGAACTTCTCTCAGCCAATGAAGGGTAGGCGCTCTAAGACAAGGCGGTGATGTGGCAGGAAAGTGTCTTGACAGTCCTGGTGGCCTCTGGCCACTGGTGTTTCTCCAACCTAATAATCACGTGTCATCGTCTTGGCTGCCACTGTTAATCCAAAGCCCGCTTAGTTCCAGGTTGAGGTTCTCTGGTTCTTGCTTAGGTGAGCATCCTGTTGCTTCAGTCTCACCCATGCAGGAGACAGAGCAGGGAACTCCGAGGGGTTCTTCCAGCTGGTTGGCAAGTGAGGGACAGAGCCAGACTCCTAGACTTGGTGAGGATGGGTTCTGACTTCCCTCTGGGAGGGGCTGTTTTGAGGAGGGGGGAGCTTATGGGATGTGTTGATTAGGAGTAGGCACCTCTACTTGCTTTAGCCCAATGGAGGTGCCCGGCTGAGGACAGGCTGGCTTCAGGAGCGGACTGGCTCTGAATGGCTCTATCTGCATACACGGCATGTGTCTAAAGAGACACCACCACGACCTTGCTGCCCCCAGTGATACTCAAAGGCTTGGCTTTACCCCCACCTGCCCACCGATAAGAAAAAAAATATCGCCAGAGGGTGTCTGTAAAGGGCGACATGGAGCTGAGTGTTAAGGCTTGGAATCCAACGTAGGTGCAGTCATAGCATCCCATTGAGCTCTGCGAAGGGTCCTGAGACGTGAGAGTGGGCAAGAAAGGCTCACAGTAGGACTGACCAGAGGGGCCTGGGAAATCCATGGAGGTCCTTGGACTTGGATGGCAACTTTGGAAGTCAGGAAAGCAGCTGGGGGTGGGGTTGTCAGGTGCCAGGTGTCAGGCTTTGGTGCAGTGAGCCCTACCTAGTTTTATACTTTGGGAACCACTGGTGCACTCATTTCCCAGACAGCACTGAAGTTTAGAGATGTTACTGCGTGTCCCAAATCACAGTGCCAGAACTGAGATTTAACACCTATCTCATTGGTTACAGTCTGGACTTCTAACTCCAAATACATCCTGTCTGGCTGGGCAGCTTAAAAGAGGTCTCCCTAAGCTCCAGCCCTTCCTGGCCAGTCCCATATGTCAAGACCTCTCCTTCAAGGTTCCCACAATGTCTTGCTTGGGCTTCTCCCGAATTCTACCCAATCTCATCTCTGGAGAGTGCCAAGCCTTGGAGCCTGCACTTAGAGATGGAGAAGGAATTCAGAGCCATATACAGACCGACCGGAGGCCTTCCATTAGAATTGCTCCTGAGGTCCATGCTATCTGCCTCCTGGAGGCTAGTCCTCTGCAATTCTGCAGATGCTGTCTCTTCCTTCAGGTCCTCCACCTGAAAGCCTGCTGGGTCTGGCCTGATGGGTCAAAAGTGCTAGCTACGGAGGTAGGCCTGCTGGGGGCTGCAGCAAGACTGGGGTTGGAGGAACAGATAAGAGAGCAGAGATAGCTCAGGTTCATGAGTCATTGGTACCATTCCGGTTTATTTCAGCACAACCCTGAGGGAGGGTTATAACAAATTCTGAGAGAAGGACTATTCTGACCCTGGGAATCCTCTGCCCCTTTTTGTCTCAGATCACAACAAACAAAAGCCACTAGTTAAAGGCAGCTCGTGGTGTGTTGAGGTAGGAAGGGAGAGCCGAGTGAAAGCCTCTCTGACGTGGGCTAGGGTCACTAGGGCAGCCTGAAGCCCATCTCCTCGTTTTGAAACTAGAGAGTATAGGTGTCCTGTCACCATAAAAGGAGTGCTGGGAGATTCTGAACTGGAGGTGGGGGTGCGGGGTTCAGGGGTTGGGGGTGGGGACAGGGGCAGGGGTGAGGGTGGGGGTCCCAGTGAGCTCCTAAGCCTCCAGTAAAGTCCTCTCGGTTTTCACTAAGATCCCATGAGACGGTTACACTTTTCTCAGGCCCAGAGAGACTTAGAAACAGGCAGAGCCACACAGTTGAGAAGCAGCGGCCTGGCTCTCTCTGGCCGGCATGGGAAGCAGTGGGGTCACGAGACTCCGAAAGCCTTTGACAAGCTTTGTCATGCGTGCGCGAAATCACAACCGTGCTCCCATCAGTTTTCATTCTCGCAGGCCCCTGGACCCCAGACAGTCATTAACACTTTCTTGCTCCTAGCACAGCCCTAAGCGTTCGCTCAGTCCCAAATCGCATTTAATCCTCAGACGTCGGTGTACAGTAGCTGGGTACCATCCATCCTTATCCCCATCTGAGCTGCGAAGAGAGTGAGGAGCGAGAAGCTGGCCGGTGTGCGCGCGCAGCCGAGGTGTGAGGTGTCAGCAGCGGAATGCCTGGCCTGTCCAGGGGCCGGGCGCTTACCCACTGACTCCCTGAAAGCCCGGTGGCTCTTCAGCCCGATTTAGCCCCAAGATTCCAAACGAAAAACTCTCTCTCCGGCTCACCAGCAGCCGGAACCACAAGGGCAGCCAGAGTGGCAGAACCAGCGACCACCGACTACCAGGAGGCACTCACCGGGGCGCCCGGCTCCTGCGGGCCCGGTCCGCGGGGCTAGAGCCCCAGGGCACCGGGAGGAGCCAGCATCCTAGGCTGGGAGGAGAGGACCGGGAGGCGGGCAGCACAAAGAGCTTTTTATTCAAATTTGTTTAGAGTTTCTCGAATTTGCATGAAAAATGTGTGAGAAAAGCCAGCTCCGGTGACCTCATCCGCACCTGCCATTAACGTTCAATTAGCGGCTGAATAGTGGCTGCCGACGCGACGTGCAGAGAATCCCGCCTGCCCCGCGCAGCTCGCTCGCCGGCGGGCCAGGCGCGGCCCCGGGAGGAGGGGCGCGGCGGGGCGCACGCGGGGCTCCGCCCGCCGCCCGGGGACCCCGACACCCAGGGCCTCCCCACCCTCAGAGACCCCGGAACCCCAAAGCCCAGGAGCACCCAGCGGTTTGGGGGGGGGGCTAACCGGGGCCCTGGAGATCCGGCTTCCCTGGGGGCCCAGCAGAGAGCGCGAACTCTCCGGGCCTCCAGGACCCAAGGTGGCGAGGGGGGCGGGGGTGGGGAGGGCGTCCCGTCCCGGCTCAGACAGGCTTCCTCGCCACCTTCCGGACAAAGTGTCAAGTGCAAGTTCAAGTTCAGGGGCAGGCCCCGGGAGGGAGGAGTGGGGGGCGGGGGGAGCCATCCCCAGCTGCCTTTGTTCTCCGGGATAAGCTCTCCCACGTCCCCCTCCCGGGCGGGGCTCGGCGGATCCCCCCGCCCCTCTCCGCCGCGCCCCGCAGGAGCCGCCTCCTCCCGCCCTCGCGGCGCCTGGGCCCGGGTCCCCGGCGACCCTGCTCTCAGGGCCACCGAAGGGTCTGGGGGGCTCGGGGCTGGGAGTTGGGGGGGGGGAGGGAAGGAAGGCGCAGTCCGAGCCCGTGGGAGCCTCCCCGGCCCCGCAGTCCCAGCAGCAAACTGCGCTTGGTCGGACGGATACCCTCGCGGAGGTAAGGACCCTCGGCGGGGTTCGTCTGCACCCCCTGGGCCCCGCCCCACGCCGTGCCCGCGCGACCTGGACCGGCAGCGCCAACCACTGCGCCCTGCAAAACCGCCCCCATTGGGCCTCAGGGGGGCGCGCTGCCGCTCCAGACGTTTGAGGGTGTCAGGATTCAAGGGATGGGGATAGGGGTCAGGGGCGCCCTGCGAAGGCTGGGGCAGAACACTGGCCTTTCCCAAGGGCGGCAGGTTCACCATCTTCCCTGCCACGCTCTTGGCATCCAAGTCTGCGTCTCCCTGGCTTCCGTGTGCCCTTCCCTCCGCTCAGATTTTAGCCAGGAAGGGAGGGGACGGGAGTCTGACTTGGGGTCCCCTTTCGGGAGTTGGTAAGGAGGGAACTGACGTGTGCTTGGGGGTTTAGCCATGAGAGAAATCAGCAGTGTCGTGTCCACTACCTCCTCCCCCCTCTCCGCAGCGCCCAGTTCAAAGTTTTGTGCCAAATGGCGGTGGCTGGTGTGGGCCGAGGGGGGCTGAAAACCGCGCTGTGATCTCTGTTCTGCCTATTAAAAAACTCCTTCGGTTTCTGTATGCCTGAATCCTGGACTCTTCTTGGTTTGTTGGCGTTACCCTTTCCTCATGGCTAAGCTGAGACACCCGCCTGCGTCAGAGCTGCCTTCCCTCTTCTGAATTTGACACCATTTCTGTGACGCTGCTTTACACACCGTTCGGACATCCATGGTTCTTGGTTTCTAAATGCCCTGGAAGTTGGAGATCAGAAGTGTGCGTTCCCCACTGAACCAGCTACTCTGCTCCCCTTTCCTTCCCTTTCCTTCCTTTGGGGGTCTTCTCCCTGATTTCTCCTTTCTGAGATCCTGCCTTTCCACAAGAGCGCACTCCTTTTGGCCAAACTTTGACAAGTTCCTCCTTGTCCGGGATCCTTGCTCAAACTTCCGCCACCTTCTCCCTCTCTTGACATCTTCAGCTTGCACTGCCAATACTTTTCAGTAGGTGAAATGATTTATGGATACGTGAATTAAGAAAAAAGACACAGCCTCAATTTAAAAAGCACTGAAGTTTGCATTTGTTTTCTCCTAATATTCACTTCAATGTAAGAAAGCTCTCAGGGACTTCATCCTTCTGTTCCATAACTGTGGGGCCTCTTCCAAGTGATCTGTTAAAAAGAAAGGGAAACTATTCAATGAAAAATCGTTTTCCAATATTTCGTGAAAGAAGTAGCAGGAGGGAACCCCCTCAACACCATAGAGCTCTACTCTCCATCGGATGGGTGTGGGGTGGCCTGGAAGACCTAGATGCCTGGGATCCTCCTTAGTGTCCCATAGAGAAGTTGACTGAAAGAGGAGATTAACCTACCTAGTGTCTTTTAGCCTCAGAGGACCTTTAACCAACACACAGAGAGAGAGAGAGAGAGAGACAGAGAGACAGACAGAGAGTCTCTTTATGTATCTATGTAGCCTCAGCTGCCCTGGAAATCACTGTGTAGATCAAGCTAGCCTCAGACTCACAGAAATCCCCCTGCCTCTTCCCAAGTGTTGGTATTAAAAGCATGCACGACTATGCCCAGTTTTTCACCAATACTCTGCTGGTAGAGGAGTCTGGGAAGAAACTCATATTTTTCTCAGAATAGAAGGGAGCCAAAATGTCTTTATCTGTTTGATGAATATGGGTGTTTTGCCTGAGCATCCCGTGAGTTCCCTGATGACCTCAAAAGCCAGAAGAGAGCGTCTGATCCCTGGAAGTGGAGTTGTAGACTTACTGACACAAGTGAGCTGCCCTGGGGGTATGGGACTCAAACTTGGATCGTCTGAAAAAGCAGCAAGTGCTTTTAAAGCATCGAGTCCTCTCCCTAGTCCCTCCCCAGTGACTTTTCTTGATTTAAAAACAAAACAAACAAACAAATGAAAAACAGTGGAGGCGGTTCTAGATTCTTCCTCTTCCGCAGGGGGATCAATCAAAAGAGCTCTCATCCACCGGATTCTCCCTGGGGGACTGCGCCATCTCAGATGAACCTCTGTTTTTCCTCCAACACTCCCCGGTTCATAAGGGGGTAAATAAGGACACACTAGGCAGCAAAAACTGGCATAAATACTGCTCTGCAGCAGGCGGGTAGAGTAGTGTCATTATCTATACGTGTTCAGTCCTGAGGTTCTCTCAATTGAAGGACATGGATCCTGTACTTAGGCCCCTTTTAGGAAGAGGACATTGAGGCAGGCGTTTGAGGTACTATTTACCTCACAACCGGGAGAAGGTGCGAGTGGTTTATTTAGGCTTGTGGCTATCTAGGCTGGCCAAGATTCTGAGTTGCTCCTAAAGCTTCTCCCTGAAGGCACATCTGGTTCTCTCTCCTTTATAAACCCGTCACTTTGGTTAGGTCTCTACTTCTTTGTGTGTAAAATGGACTTGCTGATGGGCCTCATGGACTTGCAGTGAGGCTGAAACTGGTTGGGTACCTGAGACACTCTAAAGGAACCCGTGAGTGGCAGACAGTGTCATGAAGAGCAATCACCGTTATTTTCCTCCCACTCCAAAACACAAGAACAACTTGTTGTTTTTCTTGGTTGGTCTCTAAGTGCTTGAAGAGAGCAGTGAGGAAGACTTGGGCTGGGTCTAGGAAATGACACGACATCTTGCTCTTTTGGAAAGATAACTATAGCCAAGAAAGACTCACGGATCCCCAGGCTCTTAAATATAGACACATAGTGAGCTCTGAGGTTGGGGAGAGTGGGCATGCGAAGAAAGAAGAAAGTCCCTTTGGATAATTGAGAGACTTACAGACCAAGATAGAAAACTCTCAAGGGGAAAGATCTGAAGTAGATTCTTACTTTCTTTCTTAGGCATAAGGTTAGTTAACCATCACCTCTGGATAGAAAATAAGACTAAATTCTGCTACCGAAACAAATCTTGTCACTGGGCTGGTTTTCTCTGTACCTTAATTTTTTTTTTTTTTAGTTATCCAGTGTTTATTCTGCCCCAGTCAGTGTTTTAGGCATGGGGGATAAAGAAAGAACAAAACAGAAATACCCTCACCCTGGGGAGTGTGTGTGTGTGTGTGTGTGTGTGTGTGTGTCTGTGTGTCTGTGTCTGTGTGTGTTTGTGTGTACAACAGGAGAGAGAACATAGCAAAAACTATGTGAGGTACAGACCAACATGCTTCTGAGCAGGGTTCCTCATGGTAGAACGGATCAGCTGGACCTCCCTCTCCTTTACCCATCTCTGCCTGTGGTGGGTATTCCAGAGAGAAAGACTGGACTCTTTTCTCTAACAGGCAATAAGTAAAGGCCACTGGAAAAGTAGCTCAATGGCAGAGGTGCTCAAAACTAGCATGAGTGAACTCCTGGGTCCCATCCCCAGTATGAACTACAGATACAGAAAACAGGACAGCAAACTAAGGCAGAGATCCATCTGACTTGGCTCAGGTGTTAGGTCCTTCGGCATCCCTAAAGGATGCCAGAACACAGGGAAGACAGGAATCCTGGCAGCGGCGCAAGGTTCGAAATAGTGCTATTTTGTAGAAACTAAGAGGACTGGAAAGGGTGGAGCTGTGTTAGAGTGTGGCTAACCTGGGCCACATGCATTAGCTTGTTTGTGATCATTATGCTGCCATTACTGTTATGAATCTGTATTAGCAATGAGAACATTGAGGCGCCGAGATGAAACAAAGCAGCCCAAAGCCCACAGTGGTAATGAGCATACACATCTGTGTCAGATATGTACCCCGCGAGGTGCAGTTTCATATCCAATGCATGACCTAACTGCTTATCTAGGGACCAGACCTCAGAGAGAAACGGAAGCTTTCGCTCCAGCCGAGATCTAGAGCACGGCTTTCTTCTGGCCAACTTCTGTCACGGGTTTTCAGCTTTTGTTGTTTGTTTGTTTCGAGGCAGAGTGCTCAGGCTATCCTCCTACTTGTAGCAATCCTCAGCTTCCCAGAGGCTGGGGTCACACACCTAATCCCTCTCCTACCTCTTTGAAACACCCACTCAGAGATGCCAGAAGCCTTCTTTTATAACTTTCTGTCTCTTGGCAGATAAGGAAACTGAGTCTGAGGAAAGACTTGCCTAAAGTCATTGTCAAACAAGGCACCTGCACTCAATCATGGTCTTGGCAGAGCCCATTAACTGCCCACCAAGCTGCAAGGGAATTCGAAGGTCTCAAAGGGAAGAGCTACACTCTCCACTAGAGACTTTTCCAGGCCCGGCTGCCAGACACTGCAGGGTACCCTGGTGCTAGGAGAGCAAAGAAGTTCTAGACAATCTCCAAGGACCTCAGAGGACCTCAGGCACAATGTGCATAGAGTACCAGAGCCCTCTGGAAGGAAAATGCCCCATCCTCTCTGGAATGAGGAGAGACTAGCAAGGCCCACCTGAACTTAGAGTCAAAACGCCAGAAGGAGTGTTTGGAGAGCTTCCATTTCCAACTGTTCTCTGAACTTCTATTTCTCATCTGTTGAAGGAAGATGAAGGTCTCCCCCTGGGGAGCCTGGGGAGTGCAGGGGGAAGGGGGAGGGGGGAAACCCGAAGGAGGGGAGGGAGATCCTGTTACCTGTTAGCTGTGAAGGTGTGTCACCAAGGAGGGTGGGGTGGATGGGAGACTTACTCCACATCAATAACTATGAACATTTGAGTTCATAGAGAGAACCAGAGAGAACCCTCAGCCCTTTCCTCACAAGCTCTGAGAGAGGATGTAAGAGGATACAAGACAGGGAAGAAGGGGCCAGGGATGCACTTCCTCTGAGATCCCCTATGTGGGATCTACCTGAGATCTACCTTACCCAACCCCAACCCTAGGAACTTGCTTTGGTGAGTTGAGAGTTAGGGTGGGGGCCTGCTGCTTTCTGGTTGAAGTTTGACTGTAGCGACTTATCACCGGTTGTTAAACCGGATGCCAGCTTAATTTGAGTTTTCTGGATTTTCCTGGTGGACACAGAGGCTGTATCACCAACTCACAGAGACACACAGTATTGGTGATATAGCCAGAGTAAGGCTAAACCATT